AAAAATAACGTCAAAACCCGATGTTATCAACTCCCCCAGACTTAGACTTTTGCTCGTCCTCGAGCAAAACTCTAAAGAAAGCGGTATAAAAAGGGAGAATGAGAATGAAGGGTCGATTCCACATGAATGTCAAAAGCGAGATTCTCATCTAGTTCTAGCTACCCGTGAACGGAATCAAGTCTATTCTACTATGGTCTTTCGTCCCTCGGAATGAATAATAGCTATGGGATTCTTCCTATCGCTTAGTGCCACCCTAACTGTTCTAACTATCTACCAAACATGTTTCTCAAACCTATTTATCACTGTTCACAGGAATAGCTCGGTCCTAAAGTTATGGGAAAGGCTAAGAGGGTGAATGTAGAAGAGGGTCAATGCATACAACGTTAAGTACATATACTCTTCTAATTCTATACCGCTTTTCTACTTCTTTTGCCTCGGGAGTTCCTTTTCTTTTTCTTCTTTTTCTTTTCTTTCTTTTTTTTCTCTTCCTTTTTCCCTACTTCTTTTCGTTTTTTTCTCCGACTTTTCTTCCCCAAAGTATCTCGACATATATAGGTCTAAAGGCCGACAAATCTAGGTGTGGTACAGGGCTTATAGCTTATCTCGTGATGATTGCCGCCAACCCCGGACGAGAAGCCTGTTGTCTAACGAGCTAAGAATAAGAGTGGTAAAACAACGGTTAAGCTCGGTTCGACTATACTATGGCCTAATATTCCTGCGAATGGGGAACGGTTCTTAAGGAAACTTCTACGCTTGGCTAGACAGTTCTAACAATCCTAGTCTCTAAACTCTAGTGTACCCCATAAGCTAGTGCTATCATTCCAAGATTCGATCAACCAATTCGAATTGAAAACTCGACAATCCGGTCTATACTTAGGAAAACCTAAATCCGGTTCACTAAAACATCAAAGAATCTCTACTCTATCGTTCATATGTCAGCTAATCAGCATTCTCAAAAACATTTTCTATGCATGTTTCATATGTGTCTTAGCTATATGCTCATGCGAATGCAATTCTAAGTCTATATGCTCATGCGAAGAATGAAAGTGATATGCAGAACTAATGCAGATGATGCAATATTGTTGAAAAATTTTGAAATTTTTTTAGATGTATGCTGAAATGCATGAAACGTGATATGCAGTTGCTAGAAATGAGAGCTATCAGGGCGTTAGACCTTTCCCCCAGACAAACTTGACACCGTCCGCGGTATCAGTCTAACCCGGTGGAATACGAACAAAAATAATATACAAAAAGTGATAGGGAAATAATAATATAGAAGGAGAGAAAGAAGGCTTAGCTTAATTGAGCTCCGGTGTAGATCGTCTCTCCTTTCTGTGTAAGTGTGTAGTTTCCCTTGTACTTTGCGTCTCTTACTGTGTTTTTGCTCTCGTTCTATTTTTGCTATATGTTCTCTGTTTGACACAAGAATCAAGGTGGCTATATTCGCAGGCTTAAAATAATAAATGTATCATTAGTCCATAAATCCAATGCTTCTAATAATATTCCAATCAAACCAAATAGAATCCAAAGAACTGAAGCAAAAGCATCACCCGGAAAGCCTAACAAAAATCGGGTTCATAAAACAACAAGAAAATAGGAAAATATAACTAGAGCATCTAAATCTACGTCAAGGATCGGTCGGCCTTGGGGTGTCTGCACTGAACCATCTCGGGATCGGGATTCGCCTCTGCCCCGTGATGCTAGCATACTGTGTGTCCAGATGATGGAGAACTGTCATCATGTATTGTTGTCCCTCCAGGCATCTCTCCAAGTTTTGGCGGATCAGTGGTGCGTCAGCAACTTCCCACATCTCTTCGTTGTCCGCCATGTCATCCCCTAGCTGGCTCCCTGCAGTTCGGGTGTCCATATCCGCTGGTTCGTGATGATCGTCCTCTATGATATTGAACCTGATCCCCGTCCTAGAAACTGGCTTGATGAGCGGGCTATCAATGTTGATCTCATACTCCCCGTAGTCTCTCTTCATCAGATGGTATCGCCAGTACAAGGTACTCGTATCAAGCTCAATATATGCATACCTGCACAGCTTAAGGAAGTCTACATCGATCTCCCTGGGTGATACATGCACGGAGCCAAGGAAGCCTCACTCGTTTCCTTTGGTGAAATGCGGTTTGTACGTGCGTGACTTATGTTGCCTTTGGGTAACGAATGCAGCTAGCTCAAGACCAGGGGACACTTGGAGACTCACTAAGATATTTGTACAGATATATTTAAGGGGAGAACCAGGCTAAAGGGCTCTCGGAATCCCTCAAAAACAATCTGCAAATCAGACCAAAACAGAGCACTCGAGAGCACTCGGTTTAGGTGATAGATGGAAGGGACGTTCTAGGCCAAAGAGCACTCGGATGATTCCCAATTTTTGATGGAAGATAGGGGTATGAAAGAGGATTAAAAGGAGCCAAACCAACCTTGAATCCACCACGTTTTGACCTTTCACAAGGGTGACACACACACACATGCGCAGAAGGCGATACTCTCGGACACACCAAGAAGAAGAAGCAAAATGCAACTCGATTTCTTATCAATTCAAAGTCTGATCATTCTTAAAATACAAGCGCCTTATATAGGCTTGAAACACAGCAGAAAGCAAGGGAAATTCGTGCATAAAGAGGAGCTAACAAAACATAAAGTAAGGAAAAAGTGGAAAGTTGGTGGAAGTGGATGTGCAACGTCTTGCAACGGCTAGGAGGCTTAAAGAAGCTCTTCATGAGGTTGAAATAATGTAGAAAACATCCCCAATTCGTGCTTGATAATGGCGGGCCGAAATTGGGTTCAAAGGTGGCACCATATCCTCTCCAATGGGTTGCTATCTTCTTGGACTTGTATAGAATATGTTTGGACTCTTTGGGCTTGGATCTTCAGCCCATTTATTGAGAATACATTCTTCAAATATCTTTTTAGTAGCCCAGGTGTTAGTCCACGAAATCTTAAGTGTTGGACAACACAAACTCCAAGACATTGCAATGTTTTGTGCTTGTTGCCGCTATCGTGTCCTTTGCATTGTATGACCCCTTGTCGGATGTTTTGATTAGTCATTCTTCGACATATGCATTGATCTTTGAACGTAGGCTTCGAGTCCTTTGTCTTGTGAGTGGAGGTATGGGAATGGTTGGCATGGCAAGCTCGGTGTTCACTTCTTCTCCTCCTATAGCGTCTATGGCATCGTCTTGCTTCTCGTTCGGGTTTTGTTCGTCATCGTCCATGTCTTGGTCGATGTCCTCATCACTGGGTCCTGCCAACTTGTTACTCGCATAGTACCCCACATTGGCCCCTACACGCTTGACGATCATGGTTATGAGTCCCCCTACACATATTGGCTTAGTGCAGGGACGTCTCATAACATCGTCCAAGTGCATCATGATACGGGATGCCAGGTCAACCTTCTCGACTCCCCAGTCATCTCCAAAGTAGAGGTCTTTTAGTACATACCTGAGCAACAATAATTCTTCAACCTCTATCACATCTGGTGGTGTTCTGGCGAACATGCAGCTCATAAGGAACAGATGTAGAAACATGAGTACGGGATGCCTGATAAGTTTCGCTTCCTTGACAATCCCGTATTCGCCAACGACAATCTCTTCCCAGAATTCTTGGAGTGTTTCTGAGCGCACATGTGGGAACTCATAGGTTTCCCCAAAAGGCAGTGCCAGGATATCTGCTACCTGATGCGTACTAAGCCTGTGGTCTTTGTTCTGGATCCTGAAGATGCAGTACCCCTTCTCAATAGGCCGGTGGACTGGCAAGTAATAGTGATAGTTGGATAGAAACTCTAATGTGAGTTCCGTGTAGGATTCTTCTTCAGCGGAATAAATCCTGTACCATCCCACTTTTCTCATCAGATTCGCAGCTTGGGATTCCCATCTACCAAAGTTACTCCCCATCATATATATGCTTCTGAATCTGGTAGGAATCTGGGGAACATTCCGGTTGTCTTCATACAGTTTCCTTTGGTATGGGGATTCGAACTTCAGTGGCTTGACTTCGCATGCAGGGATTTCAAAGATCTTTGTCAAAGGGTAGATGTGAGTATTGGTATCTGGAGGTCCGAAGTGGCTTGATCATATCTCATCGTGTTGTGGGAGAGAGATCGATGTTCTTCTCGTCTTTTTCGGGGAAAATTTTCGGAGAGATCGACGTCTGGAAGAGAGAGATCGAGTTGGCAGCGTTTTTCCCGAGGATCCTTTTTGTTTTACCGAAATATCAATGTTTCAAACATCGATATTAATTCAGATTTGAAAAGGTTCAGATCTCGATGTTTTGCACCTCGATATCGATAATACTAAACCTCGATATTTTCAAAAATCTCAAATCTAGGGTTTGGTTCAGATGTCGAACTCCTAAACATCGATATCGACTTTTAAGAACCTCGAGATTTTCTGAAAATCCCCAATTTCAATTGCAGATCCGATTTCGACGTTATGGAACATCGATATCGATATTTCCGAACGTCGAGATTTCCGAAAATTCCCAATTTCAGATCTGGTGCAAATCTAGACGTTTTGGAACCTCGATATCGAGGTTTCCAAACACCGAGATTTCCCAAAAATCGTCCGAAAATCCGATTTTTTCTCGTTTTTCTCCTTCCCGATCACTTTTGGTCCTTTTTCTAGCAACGTATGTTCGTGATGCATGAAATTAAATGTGCTAATGCAATGCAATTGCACGGGTTGCCTGCCATGAAGCGCTAATTTAAGGTTATCAGCTTGACCCTCTTAGTTTTAGTGATCTGGTGGTCGCGTTGGACGGAATTGGTTTACTCCCCGCCGTGCTGGGGGTATGTACACTGTACTAGTGCACACAGTCTGCTTCAACTTGCAGTCATTTCCGCTTACAGATTCAGGAATAGGATCTGGCGGTTTCACTTTGGTTCCCATTCCAGCATCAGATATATTTAGTATTTTGCCTTGCTTCTGTGAGGCTTTTCCACCGGATTTTTCTTCAGACTCTTTGATCAGGGATTCGGATTTGACTTTTATCACATTCTATACCTCAGAGCTTACAGATTTAGTTACGGGCAGGTTGCAGATGTCTCCGTCATAGGCAATTCCCTTGCCTTTATCCTTTAGTCGCAGGGTTTGTTTTCCCGGTGAACCTAGCGGTTCTTCTGGAATAGGCAATAGGTACTCATGTTCCTCTTTACCCCGTTCTGGTTTTTGTTCCAGCTTGAATTCGATGTCCGTATCTCCTATATGCATTTCTATGCATCCCTTCCGGAAATGAATTACGACATCAACAGTGTTGAGGAATGGTCGTCCTAAGATGACTGATTCATCATTTTTGTTGTCCATATCAATAACCACAAAATCGATTGGAACGTAAACGTTTTCAACCTTAAGTGGTACATCCTCTAAAGTCCCTAGAGGGGCTTTCACTGACTTGTCTGCCAGCTGTAGGATCATCTTAGTGGGTTTCAGTTCCCCCACATTCAGCTTGTCATATGTGGTCTTCGGTAGTAGACTCACACTCGCTCCCAAGTCGCATAGTGCGCTAGGAATAGCGACGCTGCCCAGTTGGCAGGGTATGGAGAAACTTTCTAGATCTGCCATCTTGGCTGGTAAGTTCTGCTGCAGTACAACACTGCATTCAACTATCAAGATTACTGGTTCTACTTCTAATTTCTCCTTCTTAACAAGTGCATCTTTAAGAAATTTCTCATAAGATGGTGTTTGCACTATAGCCTCTTGTAAGGCCTGGACGATTTCCATCTTCTCCCACATATCTGCGAACTTCGTGAGTTCACCGTCTACTTGCGTAGTACGCTGTAATCGTTGCGGGAATGGTATAGGAGGTGGTCGTGAGGTGGAGGAACATATACGTCCTCTGGTTCCTCTGCTATCGAATTTCTTTGCCTCTCTAGATGAGCTCTTCTTTGTTCAGCAACGATTCTCCTAGTTCCTAAGTTTCGCTCTCATCCACATAGACAGCGTTACATTGTTCACGAGGGTTAGGTTCGGGTTTACCAGGTAAAATGCCCTCGTCGGCTTAGCTGCGAGTTGAGCTACCTGGTTATCTAGAAGCTTTACATGGGACTTTATCTCTTGGATTTGCTTCTTTAAATCACTTTGCTCGGTGACCATTCCTTGCATTGTGTTACTCACAGACGCTTGCCCTTGCAGGAGTGTCTCAAGCATAGACTTAATGTCAGGGGCCTGGTCAAATTTTTGCTGTGGTTGTTGTTGTGGACCTCTAAACTGTTGGTTTCCTTGGTACCCACGGTACTCTTGGAACTGTTGTTGAGGTCTCTGTTGAAAAGTTTGACCTTGGAATGGTCCCGCATTTTGGAACGTTCAGTTCCTATTTTCTTGGGGAGCATTTTGATAATTGTTGCTCTTATAAGAGAAGTTAGGGTGATTTCTCCAGCCAGGGTTGTAGGTGTTGGAATAAGGATTGTTTGCAACATAGTTGACATCCTCAACCCCTTGTTCTTGTGAGAACATAGACTGGTTTCCGCTGAGTTGATCCGAAGTTTCACCTAAAGCGTCGCGGTTCGACGAATATATTTGCATTTTCAGCTCAGCTAGCTCAACTTTAAGAGCGTTTACTTCACTAACATTCTCTACATTCCCCTTTCTTCGTGAGAACTCGGTTGGTGTGGTTCTATCACTGGCCATTCGTTCAATTGATTCTTCCAACTCATCGAAGGTTAGTTTTTGATGGCTACCTCCGCTGGCACAGCTAATGTAGAACCTTATCTCATCTCTCAGCCCATTTAGGAAGGTCGACAAAAGGTAGTATCTATCGAAGTTGTGATGAGGGCATGCTCTTTGGTATTCCTTAAATCGTTCCCATGCTTTACCCAAGGACTCCCCATGTTCCTGCGAGAAGGAATTAATTCCGTTCTTCGCAAGTTGGGTCTTATGAGCAGGGAAAAATCTGTTCATGAACTCGGCACCAAGTTGATCCCAAGTATGGATCGAATCTGCGGGCAGAGCATAAAGCCATTCAAGTGCTTTTCTCGATAGAGAGAAAGGGAAAGCAAGAAGTAGTACTTCCTCAGTGGTAACTTCATTTGCCACTCTAACGGACTGACAAAGAGACTTGAACTGAGTTAGATGCAAGTTGGGGTCCCCCGTAGAGTTACCTCTAAAAGCACTCCCATACAGCATCTGGATAAAAGCGGGTTGTAGATCGGGACGGGTTTGCCCGTTTCCTGGTCTACGAATGCAAGAAAGTAGTGGAGTATGATTTGGAGCAGTGTAGTCTCCAAAAGTAAGCGCTTCGTTTCGCTCGACTGCTCTTGGCGGAGCAGCGTTGTGCGCAGGATGGTCGTCAATATTTATGTTGTCTTCCATTGTTTCTAATCTCCTTCGTTGGCTTAGGAGATGAAGGGTTCTCTAGATCTCTGGATCACGAGGAAGTAGAGTTTGACTTCCACGGCTCCTGGTCATAAACCGAAAGAATCAAAGTTTTGATTCCCGAAAGATGGAAATCAAGTGGTGGTGAAAGAAAGTAGATGGTGGTGGATAATTAGACTCTAACCCGCACCAAGACTGAATCTCAGTCCCCGGCAACGGCGCCAAAAACTTGATCATGCTAATCTAGGTGAATGGATTTGAGTCAAGTAATAAAACCTAGACTAAGCCGATTCCGCAAGGGTACGGATTCGATGTAGTACCAGGGTCGAACTCAGGGACCCAGAGATGATGATGTCGGTATCAATCCTAGTAAGAACAGAGCGCAAGAGTTGTTGGTCGGTTGGTGAAAAACTGTAAACCAAAACATTGTAGGTTCGGGAGTTCACCGATGCTACGAATTATCTAGATGGATATGGTTGGTTGCAGTCTATGGTCGAATCGGAAAACTCTAGTTTCTATCTTAGAACGCGTCTGGTCAGGGATCTATCGCTCTCTAACTAACGCTTTCCTATCAGCTTCCGCATCTTTAGGTCTACGTTAGAAGCATTACCGCCCGCTATCACAGTTCTTAGGTCGAATTAAGAATTCCTTATCAAGTCCAACCTATGCGTTCAGAATTAATAATTGAACCTATCTTATGAACGAGTTCCGGTATTAATTAATCTAAATTCCTTTGCAATTAACTAATCCAAGTTCAATTCTATAGGGTGATCAATCCTAAAAAAGCATTACGTTTAATTCATAAAACCATATCTAACTTAGACATGCATTCAACTGATTAAGCGTATTGATAATTCCGTAACATGGCTAGATTTCCTAACCTACAACAGGTGGACTACTCACACATCAATGAGGAAAACGAAATAGACATGAATTCAATCAACATTTCAATAGAAAAAGGGAATAGAAGACTTATGGTGTGTAGAATTCAATCCTTGAACAATGAAACGTAGCCAAAATCCACTCCAAATCGTCCCCCAAAGTGTTGAAAAGTCGAAAATTACAAAGTGTATCGAAAAATGTCTCCAAAGTCGAACCCCATCTCGGTTTCCGTACGGCATTTTTTAGAGATTTCGAAATATCGACGTTAAAAACCTCGATATCGATTTTTTCTAACGTCGATATTCCTCCAAGATTCCTAGATCTCGAGGTTTCGGAAGGTCGATATCGACGTTGGAAAAGGTCGATATCTGGACTGCTCAGATTTTGAGGTATAAAAGGTCGATGTCGACGTTGTGAAAGGTCGACATCTGTAGTGCTCAGATCTCGAGGTACGAAACATCGATATCGATGTTCATGAACGTCTAGATCTGGAAATCTAAAAATCTGATCTCGAGGTGGCTGGAAACTTCGATATTGAGGTTTAAGAATGTCGATATCAGTGTTACGAAATGTCGATATCGATGTTCTAAACCTCGATATTCCTCCTTTTTCGCTCTGAAATCCGTTTCTCGCCCGTGACAAGTCCGTGACCTTCCTTAGCTCTTTCGTGACTGTCCACTTGGTCCAAATAAGCTCCGAAAACACCGTTTTAGCTCCGTTTTCGTCCAATTACGCGAATATTCCTGAAATCACATCAAAGAGCAAAGAAAACGGTATTGGTGCAGAAAATGTAGCCTAAATACTAGATTTGTATGGAAAAGAGGGGTGAAATGCAACTAAAACCATAGAAAAATAACGTCAAAAACCGATGTCATCACATGGACAGGCCACCTTATCTGATTCGACTGCTTTCTCGTTCACTGAGTCCGACTGTATGAGATAGACGACGTTCGTCTATAGTGCGGCCACGCATTTCTACAGTCTCGCTCACACGAGGAGCCCAGCGATATCTCTCTCTTTTACGAGAGGTACAAATCCCATCTTGACTATCTACAATCCAGCATATGATTCATTTCGTACCTGATACATGCCTTTATAATCCTCTTGTTACGCAGGACGTTTGACGTATTCAAAGTATGCAACTCCCCATGTTGGATTCTGTAGATATCTCAGGTCATAGGATCCAATCATGGAACCGTCACATGAGATTCCAGTCATGACACTAGTCCATGTGACAATCTCATGCGGGTCAATCCAGTATTCCGTTCTCCAATGAATACCCATGATTGTGATCGTATCGTCAAACTCGGTACGCTACCGGTTGACGCCATGTCCTACAGAAAAAGACAAAATAGAACGAAACAAAACAAAATACAGATTCTATCAATGATCTACTACCAGTTAGTCCATCATCAATCAATGACAACATAGATGCATATACAAGCTATATTCCCATAAAGAAAAATAACCCTACAATAATTTTCTATATGAGACTAAGATCTATATTTCACATAAGAATAAGTTGTTATACTCATCCTTATGTTATTTAGGTAGACATCTAATGTCAATCACATCCAATGTGACTCTTAGATCCTTTATGAGACTATGATATCAAATATCATTGCATACTCGTCACATCTATACCATTAAGTCTCAAGTCAAACTTGACAACTTAACCTAAGGTAAACCATATTCAAGCTGTGGGAACCACGATTTTCCACCCTTCCTCACAAAGATAATCCGGCACGCTCAGTTTTGGCATGACCCGTGTTACGGACGATCGATGCCTTGACAGGTGTTCTAGTAATGGAAGGTACACGCTTAGCATTACATAAAAGGGATTTTTAAAACCTCACTTAGATCAAACATTTACTTTCAAGCTATGAGAACCACCATTTCTCCATCTTGCCTCACCAAGATAGCACGGCACACCCAGCTTTGGCATGGCCCATGACACGTACGATTGAGGCCTTGACAAGTGCTTTACTCATAGAGCTCCTAGATCTAACCGATTTCTGTGCAACTATTGTATGAATCAAATCAAGGATCAACCATTGTTCCTTGATCAGATGTGTTACATAATCCGAATAGATCATCCATTCGATTACGTAATCCCATTCCCGAAGCTTCCACTCAATCAAGCATATCTAATATCTTGATTAAGTTATATGCATTCATTCACTATGGACCATCCAAACGAACGAATCATGTTATTCTAAATCACAGTTGAACGGGTTAAGCAACTATTGCTCGAACCAGAACTCGAAACGAAGAACCAAAAATTTTGGTCTAACCTCGGGACGTGGACCGATCGGTCTACGTGATTCGGTCTAAACGGTCCAGACCTTTCGGTCTGAACGTCCAGACCGTTCGGTCTTGGCCTAGACCGATCTGTCCACACGTGTGGACCGTTCAGTCCAGACTTGTCAGTCCAACCGACACACGAAACCCTAGACCGATCGGTCCAGAGGACTTGACCGATCGGTCAGGCGAAAAACGTGATTAGATCTCGTTTTCATCGTTTCGGCCCTGTTTCAGACCCGAATTCGACTCGGTTTTCCTCGACAAACTCAGAATTCGAACCTCCTACACACTATGTAACAAAGAATGTGAAATCTACTCTAGATCTACAATCAATACATGCATAGCATCAAAGTAAACACGGATTCAGACGATTCAAATCCTATAACGTGCGTGATCGGGTTCTAACAAAATCATACAGAGCAACCAGGCTCTGATACCACTGTTGGGATTCTTGAGATCTCTAGAGCGAATCTAATTTCTAAGAGATCGGTTCTAGAGTTTGCGCAGCGGATGTAAAACAAAATTTTTTATGAAACCCTAAAACCTAGCATGTCTGATGCATCTTCGGGACGGAGCAACATTTGCACGATACCTTTGGACCGATCGGTCTACGTCTAGACCGATCGGTCTGGGCTGGCTGGACCGATCGATCTAGACCTCTTGACTGAACGGTCTGGCCTCCGCTCCACTGGGAAATTCTCGTCTTTTCTCGCGCGTTTGTCCTTTCCCGTATGTGTGACCCTGTAGGCTCATCCGATATAGCAGTATAAACCAAAATCTCCATTTCGGTTATACAAGTCATAGGCGGTCTCTAGCAAGACACTATGACTACCTATCTCGAATAGATTTTGTTCATGATCTTACGAACGTCAGTGATGATTTCGAACATAAGGAATGGGCATACAACCTTATCTGATTCGACTGCTTTCTCGTTCACTGAGTCCGACTGTACGAGATAGACGACTTTCGTCTATAGTGCAGCCACACATTTCTATAGTCTCGCTCACACGAGGGGCACAACGATATCTCTCTCTCTTACGAGAGGTACAAATCCCATCTTGACTATCTACAATCCAGCACATGATTCGTTTCGTTCCTGATACACGCCTTTATAATCCTCCTATTACGCCGAACGTTTGATGTATTCAAAGTACGCAACTCCTCATGTTGGATTCCATAGATATCTCAGGTCATAGGATCCAATCGTGGAACCGTCACATGAGATTCCAGTCATGACACTAGTCTATGTGACAATCTCATGCGGGTCAATCCAGTATTTCGTTCTCCAACGAATACCTATGATTGTGATCGTATCCAAGACCTATGATCATCTCTATGATCATCAATAACACATCATACTAGTCTTAGTATATCATTATTCCCACAATGAGATATTACTAGGGACTTTATTGTTCATAACAATACATGGAATTCATAACATATTAAGTATGCAAAACATGTAATGAATCAAACACTCATCCATAAAGTTATAGAAAGTGTTAATACATCAAATGTATCATAATAAAGCTCGCCAAACAGCACATCATAGAGCACTAAACCAACATGAGTCTCTTGAGTCTTGCGAGTCTTGTTTGATGCGCAAGATGACGAAGCATCCTTTCAAGGGGAAAAGACAGAGAGCGACAAAGTTATTGGCTCTCATACATAGTGATGTATGCGGACCAATGAGCTGTCCAGCTAGAGGAGGTTATCTGTATTTCATTACGTTCACTGATGATTTCAATCGATACGGTTATGTCTATCTGATGAGACATAAGTCTGAAACACTTGAAATGTCCAAGGCTTTCAGA